TCCTGCTGCTGACCAATCTCGTTTACATCCTGCTGCTGATCAATCTCATTTACATCCTGCTGCTGATCAATAGATCAGGTAGAAACGTCTAACAAGGCTCAGTCAGACCCTCTGGACGGATTCTTCTTTGTTCAAATCTTTTGTCTTTTATCCAAAAAAAATAGATAAAGACAAAACGTTTCAACAAAGAGGACCTGGCTCAGCTTTGTTAGATTTTCTCATTGATGTTCAGAATCAACTCCGTCTGTTTGTTAGCAAAATATCACAAGAACCACTAGACCAAGGGTCTGCAACCTTTTTGATCAAAGAGCCATTTCTGCTCCTTCACTCGTAAAATAAAAAAAGAGCCCGGAGCCACGAAACCTGCTACAACTGAGGATCAACTGGTGGCCCATGGGCCACTGTGATCTAGTTGGAGGAGGCTTTTCTGACCAGTGGGGGTGATATTCTAAAACTAATAATCAATAATTAATTTAAACATTTATTCATATTTTTACATTTCGGGACAAAAAAGAAGTCTATGACGTAAAGAAGTAAAAACTTTTAGTTTCTAGCTTTGGTTGAAAATGAAAACACTGAACGCTGCAGGCCCAAGAGGCCTTTGATGTGAGGACAAATTAAGTATCACACTTTGAAGTAACGTGAAAGCTCAAACATCTGCAGAAAATTGACCAAAAAATAAAAAATAAAAATCAGCCAAAAGTGGCGTTTTGTGTTGTGGGTTTAAAAAGCAGAACAATTAAATTTCCTGTAAGTTTTGGTTCAAGCTTCATGGAGCCAGAGATGAGGGACTAAAACGCCACAGGCTACAGATCCCTGACAGAGTTTCATAAAACTCTCAGAAATAATTAGTGTATATGCATCTACAACTGATTAACATTTTAGATTATCACAATTGGGGGGGTAGCTAAAGGGATGTAAAAAAAAACAACTAATAATTATCACTTGTAAAGATTATAGACATCCATCAAATACATTGTTTTATCAACTGAAGATGTTAAAATTATATGACTTGGTTGATTATAATATTTTACAGTTTACATATAAGGCTCATAAAAACAATACTGCCTTCAAATGTCCAAGTAAATTCTGTTAAAAGGGAGAGTGGTTATTATCTTAAGAGGAGAGAGATGTTTGTGAAGCGCTGGTTTCGTACCAGTTTGAAAGAGCGGTCTAGTATAATTCAGGGTTTGTGGACTGGTCTGAAGGATGTTAAACCTGCCAGATCCATGTACATATTCAAGAAAATGTTAAAAGTTAATTTCCTGAAGGAATATGGAAAAGTACAATGTGCATCTATACAAATTGTTGTTTGAGTTGAAGTTTTTTTTTTTTTGTAAATTACTTTTGTTTGAATATATTCTGGGGAAAAAAGGGGCAGATATAAGATTTATTCTTCTTCTGCTGCCTTTCATTTTATTTTTGATTGTATATATATTTTTGTTTTCTACTGCATATAGTTATTTTGTTTTTAATGAAATGAATACATTTCTAAATTTAAAAAAAGATAAAGAAGATGGGCCTGTGATCGGAAGGTCGCCAGCTCGACTCCTCGGACCGACAACATCAAAATGTGGATGGAAAAGGTAAAACACCTGCCTCCACCCTCATTTGCTCCACACCGGGCCCTTGAGCAAGGCCCTTAATCTCAACCATCTGCTCCCAAAGCAGGTCTCAATTGAAAATGAGTCCTTGTGACACTATGACCTGTGTAAATAAAAGTTAAAAAGAAAAGAACATGGTCACCACAGCTAAAATAGCTTAGCCAACACAAACATGGTGATGTCAGTTTTACACGTGGAGCTGAAATGTGGTGGAGCTGCAGCTTAAGAGGCTCCAAAACACTCCAAGTGCTGCATATGCCACATTTGTGAGTAAAACTTTAACATTAATAGATTCCACTATGATTCTCTGGATGTGCATAATTGCCTGCTCAGTCCAAACACTTTATTCTTTCTGTAAAAATGGACCAAAAATAATAACTATCACATTTATATTCGGTTAAAAAAAAAGTCTAAAATGATTTTTTTTTAAGCAATTAATCCTGCAGCACATGCATAGCAAACCATTTACTGACTGATTTATATTAAATACCACTTTTGTTGCTAATAAAGACACATTTTTACGTTATTTAAAATAGATTAAAACAGCAACTAAACAGTAAACAAACTCCATGTGGAGCCTGAGTTATCGTTAGCTTAGCTTGCTAGTTGTTAGCATAAGAAACGAGAGACTTCCTGTTTCCGTTGACAAACGACAAAAAGCGTGTAAAAAACTTTATGTAGTGTGATTTGTTTTTATAGCTGTTACATGCATGAACAAACGTAAATCAATCTCTGCTTACCTTTAAACCACAGAAGGCTAAGATGTAAACAGTCACCGGTCTCAGTGTCACATCGATTGACTTCCGTGTAGCAACAACTGTCGCTTGGAACCTTTCAGAGTAAAAGCATAAATATTGTCGGGGTCCAAACATTAATACGTAGAGGACCCGTTGACTGGGTTGGGGATTTTGTTTGATAAAAAACTTACATGGGTAAGTCATATTGAAAAAAATATTGATAAATCCAAATAAGTTCTCAATATTATGATATATCTTAGAGGTAAAGAGTGGGGTGCAGATAGGCATGCAATGAAAACATTATATATACAGGTCCTTCTAAAAAAATTAGCATATTGTGATAAAGGTCATTATTTTCCATAATGTAA